TCGATCTGCCCAAGAAATTCTTGAAATTCTCCTATAGGTCCATATCTCGAAAGATTTGAGTCGTCTCATTGTATCTGCATTCGGTGTATAGTCTGGCTAGCGAAACGGCGAACTGCAAAAGAATTTGCTAATTTGCCAAACTTGACGGAAATAATGATAAACAAGTTGGTGACATTTTTTTTTTTGCTATATGGGCATGTGTAGTATTTTGAAATAGAAAAAAATCCGGCAACATTGCAAAATGATAGATGTGGAGAGGCGTGATTATTCAGAGGTATGATTCTATTGGTTAGAGTCTGAACGACAGCAGGCAGTGGCGTGGTTATTGGCGAAACTAAAGAATTTTTTTTTCTAATAATTTTATTGGTGTTTCCGGTGCCACTGAACCGAAAGACATGGCTGTCATCAGGTGGTGTCAGTTGAGGTGTCAGTGAATATTTTTAGGTCACGCCCCACTTTTCTTCCCCCTTTCGTCTCTACCAAGTTACCACTTGCCAGACTATACATGCTTCCACCCTATAATAAGGCACACTGTGGACATAACATTTTGTCAATCTTAGTTTGAGCCTTAACGTCATCTCTTTACTACTACACTGGACTTTTTTAATTTTTATAAAGTTGGTACGAGCTTTTTCAATTCTGGTTTTAATTCTTTTAAAAAGCCGGCTAGTATTACTTTGTCGTCTGCATCTCTGATGGTTGTTAATCAAAACTCCATTCACTTTTATACCAGCGGTCTGATTTTCCAATGCTTCTATTATAATTTGCTCGGAGTACAATTAAATAATAAAGGCGACAACATGACCCCTCTATTTATTTCCATTTCAGCAGATTTTTCCTGTCCAATTTTTACTTAGGCTCATTGATTGTCATACAGATTTGAAATTATTCTTACATTTTGTCTATCCAGGTGTTTGCATTTGAAAAAATCTATAACTTGGTCATGTTTCACTTTATCAAAAGCTTTATTGTAGTCTATGAAGCAGATATAGAGGTCCTGGTTAACATCCAAGCATCTCTGTGTCAACACGTTGAAAGAAAATAATGCTTCTCTTGTACCCACCTCATTTCGAAAACCAAATTGAGTGTCACTGATGTCCAATACTAGCTTGTGATGAATTCTGCTGTATATAATTTTTAGGAGAATTTTGAATGTATGTGACATTAAGCTTATAGTTCTATGATCACTGCATTCTTTGGCATTGGCTTTTTTCGGTAGACATATAAATGTTGATGTGAGCATTTCTTGTGAGATGATTCCTGTATTGTAGATTGTTTTAGACAGCTCCACCAAAAAATCTATGTTTTTTTCGTTGATCAACTTCCATCTGGACCTGCAGATTTCTTATTCTGCATGGATTTAAGTGCATGTTCATCATCCGATTTAGTTATTTCAGGTCCTATGTCTCCACCTTGATAGTCTGCAGCCGTCTTTCCTGTCTCTGGTCATGAAATAATTCCTCTATGTATTCTTTCCATCTTCTCAATTTTTTTCCAGTCTCCGTTATGATATTTCTTTCTTTATCCAAAAGTATGTTTGAGTTTTTTGTCTTTCCAAATCCCTCTAGTTTCTTGACTTTTTTTGTAAGTTAAAATTGTCATATCTGTTTTGTAACCCTTATATCTATCTCATTACATCTTTCAGAGAAATAAGTTTATTTTGCTTCTCTTATTTTTCTTCTTATTTTACTTTGCAATTGTTTGTAGCAGGTGTTGTTTTTTGCCTTGTACTTCCTTCTTTCATTCATTAATTTTTATATTTCGTTTGTCATCCAATCTTCTTTTTTATCTTTATTTGTCCTAAGTTCTTTTTTGTTGGATCCTAAAAGTTTTAATGAGTTGCCATTGTTGTTCTGGGTTTTCTTTATGTTGTTGAGATTTGGAGATATTTTTCTTCTGAATTTTCATTGATTTCTTGTCTGAGTTTATCTCTGATTTCTTCTGATTTAAGTTTCTCTATGTTTAGTTTTCGATCGATTTTGTGACTGGTTTGCATCTTTTTCAGTTGTAGTTGAAACTTAGCAATAACAGGATTATGATCAGAAAATACGTCCGCACCTGGGTAGGTCTTTATTGATTACATTGCGTTTTGGTATCTTTGCTTTATTAAGATGTAATCGATTTGATTTCTAACGATATTATTATCTTTGTCTGCTGGTGATTTCCATGTATACAGGCGTCGCTTGGGAGAACTTAATGAGACGGTTGCCCCTCTCATTGCGAACACCAAGTCCATAATGGTCCTACAGTAGAGTTACACCTGCCTTCCCCGATTTTAGCATTAAAGTCCCTCATAACTACTGTTATGTCTAGATGAGGTAAGTTGTAATGCCCTTTGAAGATCATACAAGTTTTCTATTTCCTCTTCATTTTTGTTAGCGGTAGGTGCATAGGTCTGTATTAGATTTAGTTTGCCGTGAGTTGTTATTAGTTGTAGCAACAGGACTCTTTCAGACATTGGTATGAAGCCTGCCACTGATTTCACTAGGCTTCTTTTAAGAATTATACCATAGCGGTGTTGGTTGTCATTGCTGCCAGCGTAGAAAACTCGTCCATTCTCTGTATTTACTTCACCCGAGTCGACCCATCTTGTGTCGCTTATTCCAAGTTTATCGATCTCTATCTAATAGCAGCATCTTTTGCTCTATGTTTCTTAATTTACCAGATTCGTACATACTTCTTTTGTTCCATGTTGCGATTTTTAAAATTTGATTTGTTTATTTTCAACAAACAGGAATTTCGCTGGTTAACGACGTAGGAAGTCCTGTCGTTTGCGTTGTCTCTTCCCCTGCTGAATGTTGGCATCCGAGAATCATGATCAGTAGGTTGTCGCGTGTCATTTCTTTGTGTTGTGTTTGGCCTACAGAGGAAGGCTATTATAGTTTTGGGGGGTCTAGGTTTCAAGGACCATTGCAGAGCTTCTCGCAGGAGTATACTGGAATGTGTCCTTTATGTCAAAAAAACAGACATGTTTTCACAACCCATCATGATAGTCCGAGAGCCAGCGCCAAAAAAGTGCAAGAGTTTCATGAAAGCTGAAAATGTAATATAAGCTTGTGTATTTGCGATGTATATAACTATACTCGAGTCAGCAAGTCAGGTAGTGGGACAAGCTACGCCCACGCACCTTTGAATGTGTAAAAAATTAATCGCGATGAAAGAGTTTCATGACAGCTGAAAATCTCTCAATCCATTGTTTATTTGATAAAAAAACATGAAGGACATGGTCAGATAGCATTATGTTAGGACAACTAGAGTCAGCATGCCTATACAGGGTGGTCCATTTAACTTGAGTTTTTGAAAAAAAAAGTTCAAATAAAAGTTACATGGTATTATAGGGGAAACAAAATGGTGGTACTGATTTTTGACTTTGATAACGTTTTCAAGGTTATTTCAAGGTCAACTCTTTTTTTTTCAATGGAAACATATTTTTTATTACAGAATCTTATTCTACAGAAAAAAACAAGTAACTTTTACTTGAAGCATTTTTCGTTCCGGTTTCAATTTAAGCTGATAAAAAAGAACGAATAATTTTTTTTTCCTCCTCACAAAATCGAAAAGTAGAGAAAGACCTCAAAAACTATAACAATTGATCAAAATGACCACCGCTAACTTCAACACACTTGTTAATTCGCTGTAAAAAGCTTTCATGGCACCAAATTACAGTTTCTTTACTGACAGCTCTAAGCATTTCTTATGTGTTCCATCATATTATCCGGTCTTGTGGGAACCTCTTGATAAACTGTGTGTTTGATTTTTAAAGTGAATTGACAAGTGTGTTGAAGTTGGCGATCGTCATTTTGATCAATTGTTATAGTTTTTGAGGTATTTTTGGTAACTTTTCCCTACTGTTCGATTTTGTGAGGAGGAAACATAAAAATTATTCGTTCTTTTTTATCAGCTTAAATCGAAACCAGATCGAAAAATGCTTCAAGTAAAAGTTACTTGTTTCTTTCTGTAGAATAAAATTCTCGAATAAAAAAATACATTTTTATTGAAAAAAAAAAGAGTTGACGTTGAAATAACCTTGAAAACGTTGTTAAAGTCAAAAATCAGTGCCGCCATTTTGTTTTCCCCATGATACCATGTAACTTTTATTTGAACTTTTTTTTTCAAAAGCGCACCGTTTTCTAGATATTAAACTGTCTCAAGTTAAATAGACCACCCTGTATAGGCATGCTGACTCTAGTTGTCCTAACATAATGCTATCTGACCATGTCCGCCATGTTTTTTATCAAATAAACAATGTATTGAGAGATTTTCAGCTGTCATGAAACTCTTTCATCGCGATTATTTTTTTACACATTCAAAGGTGCGTGGGCGTAGCTTGTCCCGCTACCTCACTTGCTGACTCGAGTATAGTTATATACATCACAAATACAAGCTTATATTAAATTTTCAGCTTTCATGAAACTCTTGCACTTTTTTGGCGCTGGCTCTCCGACTATGACCTACATGATTATCAAACAAGGCGCAGGGAGGATATCGTGACTATAATTGCGACTGTCTATTGGCGTTTCGGAAGGTGTCAAAGTGGGCCAGGATACTGTTTATACTTTGATATTTTGTTTTTTGACGTGTATGAATAGCTTTATCTACAAGCGTTTGGTTATGACGTTTTTACATAACCATTTTTCTAGTATTTGAGTTATGTCATGAGACTCATAACAAAACAGTGATGGTATGGACTAGGGTTCTTTAGTGCAGGGAAACTGGTTCAAAATTTTAAGACACAACTTTAGTACATTTGAGGGATGAAGGAAAACTACCTGTTATAAAGAACAAATTTATCGTCTCTGCAAGCACATGTAGAGCTTGATCAGGAAGCTTTAAATATATTAAGTGTAGAATTCTACCAATTGGAATTCCACGTGTATATTGGCAGTTGGAAAATTTAAAATAAAGGTACGAGAATGTTCCTTCGTACATTCACTAAAGACAAACCACTTTTATTCCCTACTTGGGCAATTCCAATTAAATAAAATTGGTCAGTTCCTTACCTAAACCCATGGTTGTGTGGATCCAGATGTAACGAGACACAATAAGCGTGGAATTCGCCCAAAGCGTCCTCCAACGGCCTCCCCGTCGTCCTGACGAGGTCTTCTGTGGGGGAAGATTCGACTTTGGCTTGTTCCCCAAGGAGAACGTTGCCGTTGGCATCGCCGCCGAAACCATTTTGTTGTTGACTAGGAACACCGGTTGGTCGTACAGGGTACTGTTGTACACCCACAACCTAAAAAAAAATTTTCATTAAAAAATTTATTCCATAAATTGTAGCTAACAGGTGTAACACATTACTTGGAGTTGCTAGTGAGGTTACATGGAAATCTGATTTCAGTTGATATTGATAGATAAATAATGTATATAATAATAATAATGTAATTCCAAGTCATTATCCATTTGAATTAGTATTGATTGAATCCATGAATATCACCAAAAATATCCATCACTTTCTTTTGGAAACTTTCCTGTGCTGAAGAAATCCCAAAAGGGAGTCTATTAAATTTCTACCTGTCAAAGGGCATAATAAAAGTATGTTCATACATAGAACTTTCTTTATGAATAATGACATCATTCGTTGGAGTTATGAAATGTTCTATATTAAATATTTATTTATTCATATTCAACGAACGTTCAAACCTGTTCCAGAGATCCGTTCTTTCGGAGTTTCGCAATTTCGCACCTTTAGATTGATGAATAATTATTAACATCGTTCGTGTTTTTCTAGCCTGCCTACAATATCATAAGGATCCGACTTTGGTAGTATCTATTGAAAATCGTAGCAAAATTAGTACCTACTGTCGTTATTATCGATTAAAAAAGGCCCTGTTCCTTGAAACTGTTATTATAATCATATGAGTTAGGTACTCCAAATAGTACACGACATGTGCGCATGAACAATAATAATTATGGTAATCTTTACGTTCAAACCGCTTTTTATCTGTCCCACTTAGTTACAGTATCTACTAGTTATATAAAAAAAAAAACTGACTTTTTTTTTTAAGTTACACCTATTCAACTATGAAATACGTCATCGAAGGCCTTCGATAAAATTGCATATTTGTCAAGTCAGGTTGTCCAACTTGTTTTTTAAGCAATCAACACTTTTTATTTTAATTATTCGATGTATAATTAGTTTTAAATATAGGTTCATCAAGCACGCTTCGACTCATTATTATTGAACCTTTAGCAGCAGTAATTAGCCTTGATTAAAGTTGACAGGACAAATATAACATCATATGTAATATGTTACATTAACAAACAGAATATTCCTTACCAACATAATATTCATTAGGTCTGATGCTGTCAAAAGCTACTCAGCGATCAATTTCTCGCTCTGTTTAACTGAATTGCGATACACGGTAGCATATGGTCATATTGTTTATCATCATATCATGTCACTACCATAGAGATCACTGCTAAAGACTTTGCTACTACTCTTTTTTGTAGTTTTTTCTATGAATGTGACAATCTGGAGATTTTGACTGTTTTTTTTCAAATTCTAGAGCACACAAAAGCTATAGCTGCTCACAAACTATGTAAGTCACAACGTTTTTGAATACATTTCTGAAACAAAAACCTACGCTGATGCCTTAACTATCTTAAATAACATAAAACCACAAAATGAATCATTTTTTGCGAGACATATTCTTTCTACACGTAAACGGTAACATGGAGAAAACATAGGAAGTCGAGATCTTGAATCAGCCCAGCAAAGATTGTAACTTCAAATACTTCAAATACGTAATTGCCAAAGAACATCGCGAACTTTCCATAAGAGATGCATTCATTAGCGGATTATTGTCAAATGAAATTCGTCAACGCCTCTTGGAAAAATGTAATCTAATTTTAGATGGCTCGAAAACATTCAGAGGAATACTAAACAGCTTCAATAAATTTTATCAATTCTAGTAACGCGGAAAATGCTCAAATGCAGCCACAAATAAACACTGTATTGAGTTCTACCGGGAAATTTTCTACATGCTATACTGTTGTGAAAATAGAAGACATGATCGCTCTCTCTGTCCTACCCTGTATGCTAAATATTGCAAACAATGCCTTAAAAAAAATAATTTCTCTACTGTTTGTCAAGTTCAAATCGTGGTACAACTGCATCTACTTCGTCTCCTCAAACATTGCTTCTGTTCCTGAAAGTTTACCAAAAACTGCGGTGCCAGTAGAAATCAATCAGTTATCGGCAGATGCGTTACTAAATACTGGTAGCTCTGAGACTTTAATGAGTCATTTGTTTTATCCTTTCCTTCAATAATCTCTCGATTCAACCAAGTGAATGCTACGTGTCTATGGCTCAAACCAAAGGATTTTGTGAGGTCTACCTCAGCATTCTTGATCATCAGTACGCAACATGAAAATTTTGATTCTATGGTCGTATTCACGATAGAGTTTAAATTTTGACCGTTATTTTCACCAGTTGAAAGTAAATAAAATCACTAGATCTATCCCTTTTTCTGTCAAACATCAAATAATGATACATGACATTTCGATTTGACATATTATCAGATTCGGATCTTAGAATTTTGAATTTCGAATTTTTGCGCGAGATCGTTTTAGTTTATTGCCGTTTTCTGCATTATTTTTTGATATTTTGTTATATTCTCAATCGGTTTTATGGTTTTTTATGTAGTATTCTGTGCCTTTGTGTTTCGGTGTTGAGTTTCATTTCTAACCTGGTTTTAGTTCGGATTTAAGTGTTTTGTCTTTTTATAAGTGTTCACTTTGGACTCTATCAAGACTTATCTGGTTTATTTTATCTTCAACAGGTAAGTTAAACCTAATACTTACACAATATTACGATTTTAAAAGTGCCGTTTTCTTATTAGCGATGACAGAAAAGTCCCCGGACAAGTCCGATCGTACCAGGGTCCTGGAGACTTTGCTCTGTTCCAGCATCTCAGATTATTTAGGTGTGAAGAAAATACGGTAAAATTGGCAACTTTAAATTACCACTGTCATAATTCATCGCCAATAATTTTCAGGGAACAGCAATAAACCTTGGAGATGCTTCTTCTTTACGAGACGAATCTTTTTTTTTCTAAGCAAGAGGGAAAGTGACAAGGTAGTGTTTTCAAATTTAGTAAAAATAAGCAAATAATCCTTTTGTAGAGACCAATAATTCATGGGAACCCTGTGGCTCAGCAATTTATACAACTCGTATACAACCATTTCAAGGTGTCTCATGAAGATCAAAATCCCATAACTGTAAGTTAATAACAATAAAGTTAGTCTTGATTGATCATAGAAACGTTTTCGTCTTAATCTCAGTAAATGTAGGTACAAGTTTTGGAAGGGGATATTTTCGAACCGAGTGGCTTTTGTTAATTTTTAATAAATAAATTGTAATTTACTGTTCCATTGCCTTTCTAGGAGACAGCTAAGGTTTTGAAACTAAGTGAGACCACTGTCTATAAATATAAGGATGGTTCAGTTGAGTCTGAAATTACCCCTGTCACGCGGAAGCGTAAGAAGTTGCAGACAACTGATTCAAGTGGAAGCGTCAAACAGACTATTCGATTAGAGATATACAAAATGTATACAGAGAGTAAGTTGATGTTCTACTTTGAACATAGAGTTGTTTCAATGTTACTTCATATTAACATTACCAGTAGATTATTCCGAAAGAATACACCTGATAACATTGGAACTTCTCAGATCAAATTAAACTGTTTTTCATAGTTTAATACTATTTTTTATTTCAGGTCAACACAAATTAAGATGCTGCTAGGATTTCTTTCATTCCATAATTTCATGATATTTTTTAGAATTGTTTTCTTGCTTTTCAATAAAGGTACCTGAGTTATTGGAGTCTTTCATAAGGATAAGTATTCATATTCCCCTCTTTGACGTACCTACACAGTTTGGGTTCAGATATTTGCAGAGCTTCTGTAACTTCTGCTGCATGCTTTATCCTGTGTGTTGGGTTTATTGTTTTTCAGATGTTTAGCATTTTGTGTTGTCATATTTTCTAGTGGACTTTGGTACCTCTAAACATGGTATCACTAATTAAACTTCCTATTTAATGTATCATCTAATATTATGCTTGTATAAATTATTTAGAGGGGCAATGTCCCATCTGTCGCCCACCTCTTACTGTTATTCTTCCTTTTTTATATTATTTAGCAGTTTTTGGTAAAAAACCCATTACTACACAGGTAATTGATTAATTAATAGTTAAATTTAATTATGCACGTCCACTTGTGTCAGTTGTCTCTTGTGTGTGATGTTTGTACCTGCGACGAAGCAGCACTGGTGATGACTTAAGGCCGGAAGCACTCGGCGGATTTTCTTAATAAATTATTACACAGGATGCATACTCCTCTCTTCTTCAATTATAAGTTTAAGCCATTTCACAAACTAGACAGGGTAATTTTAGTTCATTTTTGGTGATGAAAGTCTCAAAGCTAATTGAACAAGATATACTAACTAAAATCAGTAATATTTGCTGTTGCTACAGTACTACAATATTTAAACAAGCATTTTTCGTTTTTAGAATTGCATATGTTACCCTTAAGACTGTAAGTGATAGGCTGAAAGAAAGTGAAATTTATTACGGTTCCCAGTCAAGTTTAGGCAGGGTTTTGCTCACGTTAGGATTTACCTTTAGAAAGGATGATCCAAGAAGAGCCCTCATGGAAAAGCCTGATGTAAGCCACATGAGAAGAGTTTTTGGGTAGAAATTTTAGTACTGTATAATTTTATTACTGGAAAATTTGAGTAGAAATTTTAGTACTGTATAATTTTATTAATGGAAAATTTGAGTAGAAATTTAAGTACTGTAAGATTATTATTGGAAAAATTTGGGTTCATTTATTTAAAATCAAATATGTATAATATGTATGGAAATACTGCAGTTGTTTCTCTTTTTTGCAAGTAAACCCCCTTCAGCATTTAATTCTGTAGCTACCCAAGGAAATAACTAGCATCAATAAACCGCTCGCATATACCATATAACCTTTAAAAATCAACAGAGTACTTGGGCGGCCAGCTACAGCAACAACTATTAGAAAATATTACGTTTGTTCTATTACAGATGTTTAATATTACTATGCAGGATTTTAATAACTTGACTTCCTTTAAAGAAATTAAAAATAAATCTGGAATGCATATCATTTTCCTAAATACGACCCTGTCGTTTATCCCAGCTGGAGGAATGAAAACGCTTACGCATGCTGGCAACCTAAAGAAAAAAAATACTAGATATGTCAACGCGAACTG